TTTCTCACCTCAGTGAACAATTGCACGAAAATGTTGAATGGCTGTTGTGAGTAATGAGAGGTAAATTGTGGATGGATGTGTAGGCTCCTCATGTGGGTTGGTCTAGTAGACGTGTGACTGATCAAGAAATGCGAAGGGCTATGCAAGGCATCGAAACATATGTGGATTAGAATACTGGAAACATGTACGCTAGGGTATGTTAAACTCATTCGTGGTTGGCATGGTTTCTGAATTAATTATCTTGTTATTCTTGTAATGCAGCTTAGCACCCGCGTTCCATGACCTGGTGGTGTACAACCAACTGAATTGTATCCGCCTCCTTTCAATAGCACGCAGCCTCCGACTACTCAACCGAAGACACCTTAATGTGTAGTTTCGTAGTGTGTAGGACTCCACTTTTTAAACAAACTCTTTATGTTTCGGATCTCGTATTGAGGTCCGAGTTGGAGTCATAGGAATTAAATTAGCTCCCCATTTTGTACATGCTATGGATAGCAGGAGCTAATGTGTATGTAAAAACACTCTTTTCAACATTCGTATGAATGATTTGATGAAGGAGCTAATGTTAATATTAAACCAGTTTATGGGTACACACTTGTTATGCATATTGAAAGAAGTTAACAGGCACTAACAGAAACTTACTTAAAATTGAACAATTACCAACAGAAGGTAGATTACCGCTTAACAAACACACACAGAAACTCGCTTACAGTTTTACAATCACAGACAGGAATTTGCTTGCAAATGAACCCACAATCGTCACTCACAATTGAACTAACACCATTACAATAAGGCCTATGGCTACAAAGACAACACACCCGATCATCCGACTTTGTAGTGCACAAAATTTCTTTCGCATACTTTGCAATTTCATAAAACTAGCTGCACTAATCTTAGTAGCCTCCGTAAAATCCTCAAGCATCGCCAATTTCTCTTGTTTCCTCTTTTTTGCCTTCTCTTCTGCCTTACGAAGCCGCCCTTCAAGTGGCTCCAATTTCAACTTCAGCTGCTCATTCTCCTCCATTATTCATCAACCATACAATCACTATCACTTTGAGATGTACCATCGACCCAGCAAAAAAACGACAATTTTCCGTTCCATCTTTCAAAACAGGCAGAAATAGAATTTTCTTCCAGGATTATCCTCTGTGCTATAAGTATTCGCATCGCAGGGAGCATTGTGGCATTCACATCTTACCTTCGCTGTGTTTGACGAACCGAAAGAGGCTGAAGCTTGGTTGCTGATTCTACCAGCTCGCCTCGACATTGTTGCTCGAGGCAGTGATATAAAGTAAGAAGAGTGTTGGTGAGATGGAAGAAAGGAGGCGAGGGAATTGGGTTCAGAGAGTAAGAGGAGGAGTAGGATGCAAGAGCACAATTTTTCTTTCTCCAATTGCGGCGGCAGCTCATCGGAGAAGGGATAGAGTTTCAGGGAAGAAGATGAGTTTGGAAGGGTGAGGGAAGTTTTCCCCCGATTAAGGTGAGAGGGGGGAGGGTATAAATGGGGAGTTCTTTAAATTATTATTTTTTATTATTTTTATTATTAGAAAGTAAACTAAATACAAAAATTAAAAAAAAAATATTCCCTGGTAGCTGACGGGGCAAGTGAGCTGGACCTTGACTAGTGGTCAACTCGGTTGACCGTCTAATTTGGCGATCAAACCTGCCTCCAGGCCAAATAAGAATATATGCTACATAGTTTAGACCAAAATAGCAATTTCTGATATCACTGTTCAAAATAGAAAGTTTGTCTATAATTCGGGCTAAACTAAGGTATTAACTAATAACTATTAAGTATAACCCTTGGTTCTATTAAGAAGCATTTCAAGGTTGTTGTTGTTGGATGGCAGCAACCAGCCAACAATCCTAAATGAAGGGCTCCTAATTACCTAACACTACACTAACCTGCACCCGATTCCTCCCTTTGTCGCTTTTCTGCTTCCCGTCCCTCGTTCAGCCTAGTTAATCTGTTAACTTGAAAATTCGTTAGTATATACTAACTAATATTCAAAATGTATGAACTAATATTCAAGTCTGCTAAGTATTTAGATATCACAAACTAGTATTCAAAACATCACAAACTAGTATCCAGATAGCAAATACCAACTAATATCCACAATCAACCAACTAGTATTCAATATGAATACTCTTATGTGTTATCTGGATACTCTTATGTGTTATCTGGATACTAATTATGTGCTGTTTGGATACTAATCTGTGTTGTCTAGATATTAGGTTGTGAATTTGGGATAATAGTTGATTCATGGTGGATATCTATTAGCAAACTTTGAATACTAGTCTGTGCTCTCTAGATACTTTAGTACTTGAAAATTAGTTCATATAATTTGAATATTAGTTAGTATCTGCTATGGTTGTCATGCCATTGGTATGCCGGCCGGTTGAACCTGGTTCAACCGGTGCCGGTGATGAAACCGGCTGGAATACCACCGGCATAACCCTCTGGTCAATTCCGGTCAATACCGGTCCAACCCGGTCAAAACCCGGAATGCCGGTGGTTCAACCGGAATAGAAAATGCCGGCCTGATAAGCAATCCGCCGTCGTTCTGTCAAAATGGATTAGGCTGCACTTAGGGATTTTGGGAAAAAATCCCAAACTACATACGTTATTAAAAAATATTCCCAAAATACATACGTTATAAAAAAATTTCCCAATCTACACATGTTTGGGCTTCACCGCGGCTGTCAACCGCAGTGAATAACATCACCGCGGCCGTCAAAAGCGATGAACGCTCCACCGCCACGATCGGAAACGGTGAATAATTATTCGCCATTCACCGCGGATGTTCCACGCGGTGATGGCCTAACCCAAATTAATAAGCTAATAGTCGCCGTAATAATCATTAGCTGAGGGCGAAGGGGCTGCTGTGGGCCCAGCTGTAGTGCTGTAAGCGAAAGGCTTGACCGTGTGGATCCACCGGAAGTAGGCCGGACAGCTCACGTTGCCTCTGGTTGTCGTTGTGTTGTAATTGCTGCTGGTGGCGGTGGTGCTCACCCGAGATGGGCATCGGAGAGCGAACTCCTCCTGCCGACTGCCACTAATGAAGGCGCTTACGGCGGAGGATTGCGAAGAAAGGAATTGCATGCAGAGGTGATCGGGGCCAATTATCTATAATTACTTGCTAGCATCATATATATATATATATATATATATATATATATATATATATATATATATATATATATATATATATATATATATATGGTGCCTTCTACGGTACCCCGGGTGAAATCCGGGGTACCGCATACCTTGAGTATGAAAACGCTATCTAGACCTCGAATTAGCAGGATTTTTGGGCATGATACTATACCCTAACCCTTAATGAGTGAACCCTAGGTCCTAATTATCTAAATCATAAACTATAAACCCTAAGATGGTGCATTAATTTTTTTGCCTATATTTGGACGAATCATAACCGTCGATTATTGTTTCTAATTAAATTGATCTTGGGATATAAGATTTAGAGAATTAAGACTTAGATTTTGATCTTTAAGGGTTAGAGTATAGTATCATGTCCGAAAGATTAGTCAATTCAAGTTTAGGATAGCGTTTTTTTACTCAAGGTATGCGGTACCTCGGATTTTACCCTGGGTACCGTAGAACTCCCCATATATATGGTGACTTCTAGCGTACCTTGGGTAAACTCTAGGGTACGACATACCTTGACTTGGAAAACGCTATCTAGACCTCGAATTAATCGGATTTTTAGGCATGATACTATACCCTAACCCTTGATAAGTGAACCCTAGGTCTTAGTTTTCTAAATCATATAGCCTAACCCCTAAGATTTTGCATGTAATTTGTTGCATATATTTCGACGAATCATAACCGTCGATTGTTATTTCTAATTAAATTGATATTAGTGTCTGAGATTTATAGAATTAAGACCTAGATTTTAATCTTTAAGGGTTTGGAAATAGTACCAGATGTCAAACTCCTGTCAATTCGAGGTCTAGATAGCATTTTCCAAGTCAAGGTATGTCGTACCCTGGATTTTACCCAAGGTACGATAGAATCACCCATATATATATATATATATATATATATACAATCCAGTTAAGTTGCATCCGCCATCATCAAGTTAAATTGGTTGTTCAGAAAAGGCTGATGATTATTACGACCGCTGTTAGCTTATTAATTTGGGTTAGGCCATCACCGCGTGGAACACCCACGGTGAATGGCGAGTAAGTATTCCCCGTTTCCGATCGTGACGGTGAAGTGTTCATCGCTTTTGACGGCCACGGTGATGTTATTCACTGCGGTTGACAGCCGCGGTGAAGCCCAAACATGTGTAGATTGAGAATTTTTTTTATAACGTATGTATTTTGGGAATATTTTTTAATAACGTGTGTAGTTTGGGATTTTTTCCGGGATTTTGCAGGCGAGCTCCCAACTCCCAAGACCCATCCTCGATCCCTAGTCTTCTTCGCCTCATCACAAGGTCTTGCTCGAGCAACTCTTTCTCCCGACGCCACTTCCTCCCGGCGCGTCTTCCTCTGGTGACGCCACCGGCCACCACATCTTCCTCCGGCGAAGCTACCAATTCCATGTCATCTTCCTCCTGGCGCATCTTCCTCCAGGCGACGCCACCGCATCTTCCTCCCTCTGCAATCTGTTTGTAGATAATCTCTGTTGAGGGTAGCCAAAAATAGATGAAAATTGGGAGGGTTTGGTTGGGCATGACATTCTATGTAAAAGGGTAAATGAGGAAGGGTTGATGGGTGGTGCTTCTGCGAGCCTAGTGTTGGGGCGGTGGCGGATTGGGGATATAAATTAGGGTTTATATTTTTTTTATGAATGTTTTATTATTTTATATACATATTTTCTTAAACCGGCATAAACCGGTATTTATACTGGTTATACCACGATTGAACCATTTCATTTGTGAAATCGGTACACCGACATAAACCGGTTTGACAACTTTGGTATCTGCTAACGAATCTTCAAGTTAGCAGATTAACTTTCTCGCCCTCGTTCCATCCCAACGAAATTTCTTACCCCATCCTTGTCCCTGTCTAATAGTGTCTATTGTCTACTCAGCTTCCCCTCCTTTCTTCCCCTTCTCACTCCAAAATCCAAAGTTCGCACCTTTTTCCCACTCTCATCTTCTTCCCAGTTTCGCAGAAGCACCGATATGAAATTACCAGCTGCTTGGATTTTTCTTGTCTTGATACTTCCATCACTAATTTCTTGTTGGAGCAGCGATGGTTTCGTCAGGATTCCGGTGAAGAAGAGGAAATTTGACCAAATTGCTGACTTGTCTGTTTCAACTGCCCCTCTAGAAGCCTCTCCGCTGCTCAACAAGTACAAATTTGGTCCTGGAGGATATAGTGATGGGGCTGATGTAATTACACTGAAGAACTATTTGGATGCTCAGTATTATGGCGAAATTGGAGTTGGGTCTCCTCCTCAAACCTTCACTGTAATCTTCGACACTGGAAGTTCCAATCTTTGGGTTCCTTCTTCAAAATGTTACTTCTCGGTGAGTGTCTCTGCCGTTTTGATTGTTCCCTTGCTTGTTGATAAACTGTAGAAAGGAACAAAACTTTCGTGTGGGTTGTTAAAGACTGAGATAGAAAGGGTTTTCCATTTTGGGTTTCAATTGCAGCTCGCTTGCTTTCTTCATTCTAGGTACAAATCAAGTCATTCAAGCACGTATAAGGAGAACGGTACGGATTTTGTTTGCTTTTCTGCAGTCTAGGGAAACTGGGATGTCTTCTGATTGTGGAATTGTTCTTGTTGATCCAGGTACTTCTGCCGCAATCAACTATGGAAGTGGTTCACTTTCTGGTTTCTTTAGCCAGGACAGTGTCAAAGTCGGCCATCTTGTTGTGGAGGATCAGGTAGAAGTATGATAAAAAAAAAAAGTGCAGTTTGATGGGTCTGGAGTTAGGATTGGTGTTTGAGATTATGGTTCATTTGGTTGTGTGCAGGATTTTATCGAGGCAACAAAAGAGCCAGGCATCACATTCTTGGCTGCAAAGTTCGACGGCATCCTTGGGCTTGGATTTCAAGAGATTTCAGTCGGAAATGCTGTTCCCGTGTGGTATTGATTTGCTTTGATTTACTTAGATTATACCTTTCCTTTGATGTGAGTGATCATTACAGGGTTCTTCTTGCAGGTATAACATGGTTAATCAAGGTCTTGTAAAGAAACCTGTTTTTTCGTTTTGGTTGAACCGTAATGTTGAAGGTGAAGAAGGAGGAGAGATTGTGTTTGGTGGGGCTGATCCTAGTCATTACAAGGGAAAGCATACCTATGTTCCTGTTACTCAGAAAGGGTATTGGCAGGTTGGCGATTAGGTTCCAATTTTGCTTTTGAGAATATTCCATGTTTCATATTCTTAATTTTCTTTCCTGACCAAGTTTTGTAAATTTTTGGATTTCTAGTTCGATATGGGCGACGTGTTAATAAGTTCTGAATCTACTGGTATGTTATCTGAACTCCTGAACCTCCATATTACTGAAAGACTCGAATTTCATTTTTCTGAACTTTCAGCCTTACTGTTTCAGGCTTTTGTGCTGGTGGCTGCAAGGCAATTGCTGATTCTGGTACTTCCTTGTTGGCTGGCCCAACGGTAATGGCGTTGTACAAGCAATTTGAATAGTTGAGCATTTAAATTGTTTAGTCACTCGAGATACAAGGATCCCCTTATTTTGTGCAGACTGTGATTGCTCAAATCAACCATGCTATTGGGGCTTCTGGCGTTGTCAGTCAAGAATGCAAGACAGTTGTGTCACTCTATGGGAAAACCATACTGGAATTGCTCTTAGCTGATGTAATGATCATCTCATTTCCTTCTTTTCCAACAGTAGCTTCACTCTTCCCACTGTCTACATATGCATTTCTGACCTTTTTCTTCTGCAGGTACTGCCAAAACAAGTCTGCTCCCAAATTGGCATTTGCTTCTCTAATGGGTATCATAGTGTTAGGTAAGGTTTGCTGTATAGCATCCAAGATGATCATATATTCACCATTATGCTTAATACTGATTACATAAGCTGTTTCCTTGTAGTATGGGCATTAAGACTGTGGTGGGTCAGAGTACAGACGCACCAGTGGACAATGCCCTGTGCACTGCTTGTGAGATGGCGGTCGTGTGGATTGAAAATCGGCTGAAGTTAAATGAAACAGTAGAACAGATTCTTACATACGTAAATAAGGCAAGTAAAACTGTGTTGTTCGCCCATGTATTCAGCCAAATGGCCTTCCTTCTCCCCATGCATATCGTTCGTTGCTATCTTTTTCTTTGAACACATGTTTCCTTCATTTTATTGATTAACAGCTTTGTGAAAGGCTTCCCAGTCCTAATGGACAATCAGCCGTCGAGTGTAGTAGTCTTTCTTCCATGCCTGTTATCTCGTTCACGATTGGTGGCAAGGGTTTCAATCTTGCACCAGAAGAGGTATGCTATACACACAATCTCTAGGATCATTGGAGTAATTATTTGACTTAAATAAATTTCCGATTGTAACTATGTGACTTGTGGTGGATATCAGTACATTCTTAAAGTGGGGAATGGAATTGCTGCTCAATGCATCAGTGGGTTCTCTGCATTTGATATGCCACCTCCTCGCGGCCCTCTGTGGTAAATTTACCTTGGGCTCTATGCTTTGATTTTACTTTACTATCTACCACGTTTTTTATGGGGTTATTGTTACCATTTTCTTATGGCTGCAAATCATGTACATAGCTTTTCAAATGATCATCACACGCAATTGTTGGCACCATAGTGTTGGATGAGCTGTTTAGCATGTGTAGAAGATTTCCTATATCTCTATACCACAATAATACTTTCTATTGTTCCATGTTGATGTGTGTTAGGATTTTGGGAGATGTTTTCATGGGACGTTACCACACTGTGTTCGACTATGAGAACTTGTCAATCGGGTTTGCTGAAGCAGCTTAGTGTGGTTTTGACGAAATTATTAGACTGGAAAAAGGAGCAAAACGTATAACAAGTAGCGGGGATAGCTCAGTTGGGAGAGCGTCAGACTGAAGATCTGAAGGTCGCGTGTTCGATCCACGCTCACCGCATGTTTAAATGTCCTTTTTTTTAGGATGAGAATTAACTGAAAAGTTCAGCTACGGTAAATTCCAAATTTGATCACTGGGTATACTAAAGAGTGTTATGTTTAGTCACTGGAAAAAATTAATATTAATAATTATCACTAAGTTTGGTAAAACATGTCATGTTTGGTCACCCTCCATTAGTTTTCATCCAACTCTGTTAGCGAAGTCCGTTAAGCGCTGACGTGGCAAACATAATTGCATATTTAAAATGTTTTGTTCTATTTCTCTTCTCTTGTGCAAAGTTCTACAATAATCAGAATTGAACAGAAGTTCAACTAGATTTCTTTTGGAAATGGCAAAATACACTTATGTAGCCAAAACTTTGATGATTTGGTCAAATATAGCCACTTTTGGCGAAATACCAAAAATAGCCATTTCCGTCCAATTCTTTGACGGTGTGAGTTAACGTGCTGACTGGACTAACGGATAGTCTGATCTGGCAATTTTTGTCTTGTACGTATTACCCACGTGGATTAAAAAAACAAAAAATTAAGGAATTTTATGAGGAAGCGACGAGTCCCTTCTCACTTTCCCATTCTCCCTATTACGACGAAGAGGCGGAAGAGCTCTTCTCCGCTGGCAAATCCCACGACCACAACCTCCGTCGCCTTTCGTCCAAAATCATCTCTGCTTCCGCCACCATTAATCGTCTATGCCTCCACCAACACCAGCTCCGACTTCACTGCCACACCATCTTCAGCGATCCCCACCCACTTCTCTCTCATCCCCGATTTTGAGGTTCGCCACAGGTGAGGGGGCCAGTGTCAGACGAACAAGAACGAAGAATCTAAAAGCAGCAGAACATGGAGCAGTCGCAGACGAGTTGGGGAGAAGTCAGGAAATCGCTTTTATTTTCCCCCAAATACTCGTATTCTTCTTCTCTCCCCCTCGCCGACGAATCTGGAGTTATTCTCTATACAATCTCCACTGAGATTTGGGTTTGGTGTTTTTCTCGGTTTACTAAAATAGAAAAGAAGGGTTCTGGGAGACTTGTTTTTGTGGGTTTAGGTTTTTTTGTGGGAGCCGCCATTGAAGGGGTGGAAATCCAAAGAGGGAGGAAGCTGGGCGTCGGAGCTGAAGCGGATTCGTCGGGCCTGAAGCTGGGCGGCAGGGCTGAAGCGGATTCATCGGAGCTCTTATTCTTCTCGCAGCCATCTCTCTCATCGTCGTAATCGTTGCCTAATCATTTATTGCATCTGTCGCCGTCACTTGGAAAGGCAGATCCCAATTCTTTTTGGTTGATTAGCATTGTTGCGGTCGGATCTATTGACCGACGACTAGGGAGGAGAAGAACACCACGATGAGTGTCTGGTGAGTTGGCAGCCCAGTTAGCGTACCGTTAATATAATTAACGGCGTCACTAACGGTGTTAAATTTTGTAACGGAAATGGCTATATTTGTCATGAAACTTTCAAAATTTTGGCTATTTTTGGTATTTTGTCAAAAGTGGCTATATTTGACAAAATCGTCAAAATTTTGGCTACACAAATGTATTTTGCCTTTGGAAAAAAGCTCATAGTAATTTTTGGGGATTGTTATTCTTCGCCCTAAAAATCCTTATTCGTCGCCCTAATTATATTAAATTTACTTTAATATCCTTATTTCACAATTACATTTGCAATTACCCCTCCAAGACATATTCACATTCAGGATAGTTTTTTTTATAAAAAAAACTGACGGATTGATAAGCCATCACCGGCTGCGAGCGACAACTTAGGAAACCGAACAACAAAAAAATAAGAAACTCCTGCTGTGCGCGTCTTCTTCTTCCTTCAGGCAGCGGATCGTGCTCGGGAACAACCAGGGGTCGGCGGATCGTCCTCGGGTACGTTGGTTTTCACGACGGCGTGGGACAACTTTTTCTTTTATCGCTGTCCTATTAGCGGCTGCCGCTGTTGCATTTGTTGTTGCCGCTGCTGTACTCGCTTTCTTCTATTTTCGTTTAGTCGTGGTAAAAGAAAAAAAAAATCCCCTATTCACCGACGATGGGTGGGAGTGGAGCGTGAACCGTGGAGCTGCCATTTCCAGGAAGAAGAAGCTTTTTCTTCGAGTGGGAGAGAGATGAAGATAAAGCTACTGGATTAACATAATTTGTTGTTTCCTTTTCTTAACAAGAAAGGAGAATAAACAATTACCGAAAAAATTGGAAAGGAGAACAAAGTAATTAGTTTCTCGGTAATTGTTTGATTTAGGAAGGGATAAAAATGTCAATTTAGTACATTTTAGGTCGATAAAATTTGAATTTAGGGCGACAAATAGCGATTCAGTAATTTTTATACTTGCAGTAGATTTGTTTAGAAATTGGGTGCTCTTTTTCGGGATTGAAAAAATAGAAGTAAAAGATAAAACATAGGGTAAATTCCTAGTTTGGTCACTGGGTATACTAAAAAGTGTCATGTTTAGTCACTAGAAAAAATTAATATCAATAATGGCCACTAAGTTTGGTATAACATGTCATATTTGGTCACCCTCTGTCAGTTTCCGTCCAACTTCGTTAGTGAAGTCCGTTAAGCGCTGACGTGGCAAACAAGACCGCATGTTTAAAATGATTTGTTCTATTTCTCTTATCTTGTGCAAACTTCTACATATACTGTGAGGATCAGATTGAATAGAAGTTCAACTAGTTTTCTTTTGGAGAAAAAAGCTCATAGTAATTTTTAGGGTTCATATATTTGTATGGCCTGAACTTTTCACATAATAAACATCCTAGCCAATCTTTTCGATCTATAACATCATGGCCTGAACTATACACCAAATTAACGAAATTGGCCAAACCCGAAAATTGACTGTTATCTTTGACGGTCAACGCGCCACGTCACAGCCAAGTCAACACCTTTCACTTAGAAATTTTTATATTTTCCACCTATTACTATTTTTTCATTTTAAATAAAAAAATTGAAAATTGAACAAAATAAAGGGGACCAAAAATTCATTTTTCAATTTTTTTATTCAAAATGAGAAAAATAAATAGTAATAGGTGGAAAATATAAAAAAATTTAAGTGAAAGGTGATGACTTGGCGGTGACGTGTCTCGTTGACAGTTAGTCAACGCGTTTGCCGTCAAAGATAACGGTCAATTTTCGGGTTTGGCCAATTTCGTTACTTTGGTGTATAGTTCAGGCCACGATGTTATAGATCGAAAAGATTGGCCAGGATGTTTATTATGTGAAAAGTTCAGGCCATACAAATATATTAACCCTAATTTTTATACTTGCAGCACATTTGTTTAGAAATTGGGTGTTCTTTTTGGGATTGAAAAAAATAGAAGTAAAACATAAAACATATGGTAATTTCCAAGTTTGGTCACTGGATATACTAAAAAGTGTCATGTTTAGTCACTAGAAAAAATTAATATCAATAATGGTCATTAAGTTTGGTAAAACATTTCATGCTTGGTCACCCTCCGTTAGTCTCCATCCAACTCCGTTAGTGAAGTCCGTTAAGTGCTGACATGGCCAACGAAATCTCTTAATCAGCCGGATCTAACACAGCACAAATAAAACCCGACCCGACACGTCATTAAAACCCATCACGTCATTAAAATCAACCCAACCCAAACCCTTTGACCCGGCCCGACCCTTCTTCCTCCTTCCTCCCACCTCCTACTTTCCCCAAATCCACAAACTAGCAGCTGGGCCGTCAGAATCCTCGAACAACTCTACCCACTGTCGGGCACCAACGAGCACTCCGACTGCGGCCGCTGCATATCCCTCCTAAGTCCTGACTAAACCTAGAAAAAGAAATTGTACACCACCGTCAAGTTAACCAAGCTCCGCAGCGAGCAAACCAGCTCCGGGACGGACCGGCCCAGAATACTCATTATGTGCCAAGTTCAGATCTTCGATCTCGGGCAAATGACCCATAAGCAAATTGAAGCTCACGTCGAAAACCTGCATATGGGAGAAGATCCCGATTCCTTCTGGGACGCACCCCGTGAGCTGATTGTTGAGGAAGAGAATCTCTTTGAGTCTCGAGTTCATGAATCCTAGGCTTAAGGGGATCTGTCCGGTGAACTTGTTGTAGCCCAAATTGATGACGGAGGCCGGGGACTTGCCGAGATTGTCCGAGATTTCACCGTCGAATTGGTTGTTGTTGAGGAAGATGGCGTTGTGGCGTTTGTCGAAGAGGGCATCGGGGATTGGACCCGAGAAGGAGTTGAATCGGAAGTCGAGGTATACAAGATTGGGGATGTCGAGGACGGAGGAGGGAACTCGTCGGGGAATTGGTTGTTGTTGAGGTCTAATTCGTGGAGGGAAATTAGGTCACAGAATGTCTCCGGGACAAAGCCTTGGAATCTGTTGGAATTGAGGTGGAGGAGAGTCAAAATCGGTGAAGAGGGAAAGCCCTTCCTTGGAGATTGGCGCAGTTGAGATCTATTCTGGTAACTGTGGGGGTGGAAGAAGAAGAGGGGGATTGTTGTTTGCAGAAGATTCTCTTATAGGAGCAGATATACTGGCTGACCCAGGTGGCGAGGACGCCAAAAGGGTCAACGAAGCGGATTTTTCAGGCCTAGAGAGCAGAGTAAGCGGTGGAGCCGGCCGGAGGGTTGAGGTTTACCCGGAGAGGAAGGAGAAGTGGTGCGAGAGGATGAGAGGGGTTGGGTTTTGCGGGGAAGTTTTCAACCATTTTGATGAATCTCGAGCTTGCTGAGGAAGGGAATTGGGAGATGAGGGTGGAGGAGAGAGATGGCGGGTTTGTTTTGTTAAGTGGGTCGGGTTCGGTTTATGGGTTGGGTTGAGGGTATGACATGGTGGATTTAGTGATGTGGCGGGTCGGGTGTGACCATTTCTGACCCAAAACGATGCCGATTAGGCGCTCTTGTTAGCCATGTCAGCACATAACGTAGTCTTTTAACGGAGTTGGACGGAGAGTAACGGAGAGTGACTAAATGTCACCCGTTTAAGTAATTTGAGTGACCAAAATTAATATTATTTTTTTAGTGACTAAACATGATACGATTTAGTAATCCACAGTGACCAAATGTGGCATTTACCCATAAAATATATAGGCAATAATTTATCTATCTTTTGCAGCATCGAAAGTAGTCTTCATTTAGTTAATGTTTTGGCCAAAATTTATTACTAGATGAGAACAGAGGTAGTTCATTGCATTGAGAAAATTGTTCAACAGAATATTTTAATGGTGTATTCTATTTCTCTTTTCTTGTACAAAGTTCTATGTATATTGTGAGGATAAGAATTAAATAGAAGTTCAACTAGTT